TAAAGTTAATTGTAAATATTTTATATTTAGAGCTAGCTTTTATTACAGAATGACAGAATTTGGTAGTCTACTGAAGTTAGGGTTTGCCTCAGTTTTCATTTCAGAAATTGTGTATACATGTTGAGGAATGTAACATTTTTTTAAAAAAATGCAATTTTCTCTTGAAAAAATATGATTAGAAAGTTGACAATGTCTTTCAGATTTCTTGTTTAGATCATAACTGGCTGAAAAAGAATTTCTGACTCACATGTAATCTCCATTTGAGTAAGCATGGTATTTTACTTTGAAATTTTCTTTTCAGATGAATAAAACTTTTCAACTGTAGCCATTTAATAAGAATTGCTTCTAGCAAGTGAAAAATTCTGGAAAAACTATAATTTAAAGAAGTATCTACATTTTATTTGCTCTATACTTTTGAGAATAAGAATCCTTTCCCATTTACAGTTTACTTTTCATGGAACATTATTAACTTTTGGCTTCATACTTATTTTCTGTCAGATGCTTTTGATTTGTAATTTACCAAAGTATAATAAACAGTGCAGAAGTCATGAATTTTCTCCTGCATCCTGAGCTCTGTGGTAGGGAAAATGTGATAAAATGTGTACCTTAAGTCTTGTTTGATGATCTCTCAAAGCAAGTTTGCCTTCTGGAAATAATTTCTGAGGTTGAAGAGCATGGTATTAACAGATTTAATGTGGCTATTCAGCGGATTGGTGGAGAACTATGTCAGGTTTAACAAAATGAGAGAGACAAATTGAACATCAACAAAACCTACATCTGTAAAGAATTATAAATTTAATTAGGAAAAAAGCAAACTTAAAATATGTCATTAACTAATCAGAATTAGACGTTGCTCCTTTAGGACACTTAAATGTCATTTTTGGTGTACTAAAAATTTAGAAGCTTTGTTAACATCATCTTCTCTTTTCCTTTAGACTAAGAAGCAATTTTTCTTAAGGTTTGCTTATCATTTGATTAGTTTACAGACATTTCCTAAGTAGTGATCATTTACTGATTACTTGTTAGGGAAGAAAATTATAACACTGGCCATTTAAAATACTGTTGGTCTAATTTCATGGTAAATCATGTTTGTATTATTACAGTAGTTCTGTCTTCCGTTTTGAAAGTGCCAGTTCTTCAAGAAATTCCAATTATTGCTGTACTCTTCCATTTGTAGAATAATTAATGAGCCAGAAAACCATATGTTTGAGCACCATATACTTTATGATTAAGGTCGTATGACACTATGCAAGTTAAAACAGTAATAAACACTAGTAATGCTGAAGCTTCACCCATGCATGTGTTGCTCTCTATAACCTGGCCATCATAAGTTCAGTATAGTGCATATACTGTGACCTGTATTACAAAATAACAACAACAACAAACCTGAAAGCATGTGAAGTATAACTGTAACATTTTGTAAATTGTAACTAATTTCACCAACATCTGTGTCTAATTTTTGTGTGCATTTGCATTCTTGAGAGTAGATTTATTTTTCCTGTACCACTATGTGGATTCACTTGACCAATCTAAGCAAGGATTAGTAGTTTTAAAGTTATTTTGATTAAAGAATCATTTTTAAATAGCATAATGCACAACACATGGTTTAAATAATCCTTAATAGGCAAAAGACTGTAACTGAAGTATGACTAATGAAAATGAAGGTCAAATATAAACTCTCACATCTTATAGAATATTAAAAAGTTATGTAAAAAGTACACTATAGATTATATCACATATATAAATATCTACTAGTTATGGCTTTTAAAATATGGAGATAGTAGGATATTTATTCATTTTCACAACAATTTTTATTGATCAAGAGTCTGGAATTAACAAATTGCAATTGATATGCAGTTAAATCTTATGGTGAAAAGAATTCAGAAGATGAATGCATTTTATTAGTGGCTGGATTAAAAATACTGTTTTTCAGTATACTGTCTAATAACAAAAGATAGCTGTTAAACATGCTTCATTCCCACCTATAATTTATTCAAGGTGTACAGAAGTAGAGGAGAGAATGTATCCTAAAGGCATTCTATTGCAGTGTCTAGGGTTAAGAATAAAAAGTTTCCATCTTACACTTGGGTTTTTTCCCCCTTCTCTTCTGAAAAAAGGGCTTAGCTGTTACAAATACATATTTGTTACTCCAGTTTGATTTGGCTTGCTATGGTCTATTAAAAAGCACACTATTCAGCATTTTAAGTACAGGGGGAGGGGGAGTTGCACTTTTTCTATCTGTGTTAGTGCATGCCTTTTGTCATTGTGTGTAACATTATATGTTGTCTGGCTGCTTATAGGAGTGGTGTGCTCTTGCTAAGGTAGTAATTCTGTCTGTGATTAAAAATAACAAAAACTACAGACACATAAGTGAGATTTGCCTGGATGACTTTTATGGCACTTAAAATGCCTCATCTCTCTTGTCTTTGTTCTGTGATCATCTAAGAGATGTCAGTTCAGGTTGGGTAGAATCTCGAATCCAGACATTTAGACAATGTATGTCATAGTTAGGGAAGTTTTGTTTGTGTTTTCAAGCCAGCAGCCAGTCTTCACCTGGGCTTTATCACCTGCTGGCGGTTGTTGGTGGCTTTGGAGGGAATTCTGGTATCAAAGACTATTCATTAAATACAACCTAACACAACACATTTTCTCATAATCAGGAAAAGCAGTATACATGCCTAGCGGGGTTCAGATTTATATATAGTTAATTACCCTTTAAGAGTTCACATACTTTAAGGGTGTACAAAAGTATTTTTTCACAGTGTTCATCTTAGTAATATGAGCTTTTTTGTATAGCATTTATACTTTGAAATGTCACTCAAAGGGTTTTCTTCCATATACATTCATTCTGAAGCATGTACAATTCTTTTTAGTTTATGTTGGAGGGCAGGGACAGATTTGTGAAAAGCAAGTCTCTGGCCTAGCTAGACGTGCAGGGACTTCTCAGTTGATTTATAGAAGCACAGCACTGCATTTTACTTCAAATCTTTAAGCACTGGTTTGCCCTCTTCTAAAGCAGGCTGGAAACTGGACCTGCAAATATAAAGGATTGTGTGCAGCATTTGGAAGATGAAAACTAACATGATAAGGATAAAAGACTGCCTAGCCTTAAGGAGTAGGAGGAAGATGTACTTAAGCCTATGCTAACAAAAGCTGAAAGAGGATGATGGGAAATACTGTTGGACCTCCTTTCCTTTGATATGCTTGCTCTGTTAATAACTACCTGACCCAGGCATCTCTTCCTAAACTACCTTATCAAGCCTGCTTTGCATGTTGATTTGGGAGAGGAATAATCTAGTGTGCAGCTGTCATAGGCGAGTGATGAATCACTATCCCGTCATTTGGCTGCCTTCCCCATGACATGGACAGGAGGGGGATAGACCTGCTGGAGGAAACAACAGTTGAGGCTTCAATTTAAAGACAATATGTCTTTCACTGCAGCAGTGCCCCCTCCTTCGCTTTTGGTTAAAAGACAGCATTACCATCCCCAGGAAGATTTCTTTGTTTAGCTAGATTAAGACCTGACATGAACACAGAATAACAGAGGCTTCCATTTGTGTCCCTGGTTTGCAGGTGCAAAACTCCCAAACCAGTTCAGATGTTGCTGTTTCATCCATTTTCAGGTAAGGATAAGATCAAGCTGGACTTTCTGTAGAAAGAATTCTTAGAAGAAACTTTATTATTATTATTATTTACTTCAAGTGGCAAGCATGAGACTTGTTTTTTCTTCATTTTAATCTGGATAATATTTCAGTGTTTTGCAAATGTGTTTAAATGTACTTGGTGAAAGATTAATTTATATACCTTTCTGGGAAGCACTAAAACTTTTTACACTCCGTATACACTTCCATGTATTTTAAAATGATTATATTTCTTGGATTTAGTCATGAATGTACCATCAGGAGGCTTGTGAAAATTTCTAAAAAGAAATTGAGTACTATTAGAAAGCTTGAAAAGAAATATTACATTAAAAGTAAAATATGCATTCCTGTTATAAAACATGCAGTGGAATTTTCTCCATATTTAATTGAAGGTAATTTAGACTGAGTTCACTGGGATTTACTCTAATGTAGCTGTGCCCAGGTTTGCAGCCACAGAGTGAAGTTCAACTATGTAAAAAACCCTTTCCTGAGACATGTGGATGATACAAATATATAGATATAACAGTAAGAAAGCAAACTTTATTAGGATTTTGAAAACTTTGAATGGAATATAAATGTATTCTTAATTCCATCATACTGAATCAAGTGTTCTAAAACTATTTGTTTATGTAGCTATCCCCTTATTCTTATTCTAGGTATTGCCTCTTAAAAACATTCTGTATATAGGCTATTTCATAAAAAGCACATTGAAGTTAATATTATAAAAACAATTATTATGATCAGGATCACTAGTACTTTATTTAAGTACAGATAAAAGATGCAACAGAGAAATACATACTGTAAAATATTGATAATTATGCTCTTATTTTCAGTTATCACTGTTTCATTTTGGTTAAGTGACACTTCAAGTCCTGTAATGTGCTACAGCAGAATAGTGTCTTTATGGATTCATTGTATATTGGCCTTATCCCTTTTCAGCTGGGCACACTTTATTTAATCCACAAAGCAAACAAGAGAGCAGACATAATATTGTTTTAATGCTGCATTTGTTTCAGCGGAAACAGAGGAACAATTAAGTAGTTTGCCAGAGTAAACACATACATCAGGAATATCTCATTCCTTGTCAGTAGACTGTAGGTTCAACTATTACTCCAAGTGTTTTGTTTGGTTTGGAGGCCCATTAAATTGTAATTGAGTGGTAAATTATATGCAAGCAAACAGTGGTACTGCATTGCTTTTGGGATGCATTGTTAATGCAGTTTAAAAATGTTTGTTCCTGACTTAGAGTATCAATCCTTTTTTTAAACTTTGTATGTGATTGTATATAAATCAGTAAGAGTTGCATGTGTAGAATGATATTAAAATAAGGCAGACTAAGGAAGCAGTCATGCATGTGAAAGAGTAAAAATAATGGTAAAGATGATCTGTGAAAGTGCATGGGTTGTCCTTCCATATTCAGAATTGAATGCAGTACTCAGATTTGCCCTTTCCTTTCCTTTCCTTTCCTTTCCTTTCCTTTCCTTTCCTTTCCTTTCTAGGTCTATGGAAATGCAGGATCTAGCCAGCCCACATAACCGTCTGAGTGGTAGTAGTGAATCTCCTAATGGTCCAAAAATTGATAATTCTCACATAAATAATAATTCCATGACACCCAATGGCACAGAAGGTAAGTCCCTTTTTGTATATTGCTTTATATATAGCCTACACATGATGTTATATTAGGCCCTGCTTTTTAATGAGATGGTAAAAATGTATCAGACTGAGGATGATGGTTTGCTGTTCCCTACAACACTCTAGGTTAGCCCTCTTCCTCTTGTCATCTAGTTTTCTATCTAGTACCTGCATAAATATTTGTATGGGGAAGGTCTTACCTGGAATCTGAAACACTACCATCCTAACACACAAGTCGACCATCTCAGAGAACAAGGCTTTGATTGTCTATTAGATATGACATCCCATCTAACTAGACAATATTCTGCTGCTATCTAGATGTCTACATTTAAGGAGCAATCCTCTATCTATTTTACTGAGAGTCCAATTTAATTAAGTCCAATTTAACTCAATGGTCTTACTTCTGGGTAGATATGTATGTGTGCACAATGGTCAGTTCCAATGAGTTGAATGTAAGAATTAGCACAGTTAATTATTGAACACATAATGCAGAAACAGTGTTAAAGACCAAGTACAATGGTTGTTAATCAACATAAAGTACAAAAATAATGAAAGCTTAACTTTTGCAATGATCATGGCTTCAGGACTATAATTGTACATTTTCTACCCTAAGCTTTGCAGTATTAAGTTGCTAATATAATGAAATACTGTGATGCATGTAATGTGATTTCGCTATACTGTTGTCTCCAAATACAGAGTTTATGTCTCAAAGTTGGAAAGTCTTAAGAGCTGTCTATCATTATTATTATTATTACTATTATTATTATTATTATTATTATTGCATTTTGTGTCACTTTTTTTTTCCTTTTTCAAAGGGGACACAAGGCAACTTTCAAGGCTTTCCTTCTCTTCATTTTATCATCACAACAACAATTATGTGAGGTAGTCTAAGTTAGATAGTCTGTGACTGGCCTAGGGTGACCCAATGAGTTTCATAGCTGAGTGAAGATTAGAACCTGGATCTTCTGAAACCCAGTCCAGCAGTCTAACAACTTCATCACACTGGGTCTTATCACAGCAAGATACACATATACATAATGTTATGGGAGGTATTAATAGAAAAGACCTACATGCTAAAAGACCTACAGCTGTACACATAATCAGCAGAAGATCTTAACAAAGAAGTATTGATGGGGAGTCCAAAGGACAGTTCACTGGTGGATGTTGTAATTTTTGCTGTACAGCTACACAGCTTCCCCCATCCAAATACGTTATATAATGGCTATTTCACTTTTTGACATTTTTATTACAAATTATTGTATATTAAATAGAAAGGGTTTGAAGGGTTAAAAGGTAAACGTTTTGCTTGATTGATTTGGAAATGCTTTGATCTCTCTTAGGAGAAACTTCTGTCCTAGATAACCATTCATCAGCCTTTCCCATTCCCCTTTTCCATAGCATGTCTGCTCTCAGTTCTAATTGAAGATTGTGGGGTAATGTCTGAGATATCAAATTATTCCTCATTTGTGATTTTAGTCATCATTCTCTTTGAATGTAATGGATGTACATTTGTACCCTCAGACACACATACTCACGTAGTGCTGATTCTCTAAGAGAATATATTAAAGTAATGTATAACCAATATTCATGATTGAGCACTGCTCTTTAGACAAGATTTTCTGATTAAGGCTGCAATTTGGGAATAAGCCCTTCTGAAAACACTAGGTGTTGCTTCCAGTTAATTATACATAGCATTGTACTGTTTTATATATGGAGCTTCACTGTGAATGTAGTGATAAGTTTGGACCTGTTATTTGCCTTCTGATTTCAAAATGGGAAGATAAGCATACTGACTTATCCTGGTGAAATCCATACATCTTGCCCCAGTTCCTAAACAAACATTCATGGAAGCTAAGTCCTATCGCTATTAATCATGTGCAAGTGTGCTTAGGACCACGGTATGAAGTACAATCGCTTGATATTAGTTTTTAAAGGAATTAAAACAGTTCTGCTAGACATTTTCGATATGTGATTTTTGGGACTTCTCTGAAAAACTAGTTTTTTATCTTCTTTACAATTATATTTTACAGACTGGTTGTTCGATGCTAATGGAAAGACCAAATATATATTTATGTAGCCATGGTGCATGTGCACCTGTTGCCATGCATTTTAAAGTTTTACAAAATAGTGAAAACTGCTGACTGATTTGTCTTCAATCAAAAATGGTTTATTATTATTATTATTATTATTCATTCGATTTCTATATTGCCCATAGCCAAAGCTCTCTGGGCAGTTCATAACATTAAGTCTCCCATCCAGATTTTAACCTCCTTAGTTTCCAGAATTAGGCAGGATCAGGCACTTCAGGCTGTACAGAAACTCTATTTGATGTTGTAATAAGCTAAATACAGTGTGGTACCTTTGGAGATGAGTAATTAAGGTTATACTATCAAAGGTGCAAGTAAGCATGCACAGAGGCTATAACAATAGTATTCGAGAAAAATGTTAGCACAAAAAGATTTTTTTAAATCAGATACTGGAGGGGTGAGATTATGTACACAGTGAGAGTTGTTTTATTTTCTTAAAATGAATTTGATTAATTACATAAATATGTATTAGTACATATTACTTAGTCTGTTCCTTTTTGCTTTATACTTCTGATAAATGTAGCATTTACAGACTATTGAAAGTCTAGGACAGAAGCTAGTAGTAGTAGCAGTAGTAGTAGTAATGTGTTTTAAAGGATGACAAAGTATTTTAAATTAGGATATTCTGACCAGTCCTAAAGTTTGTGGAAATGCTGCCAATGTTTGGTTCTTGCATGCTTCACTTGAAGTTATAGCACAAAGAACTCATGATCTGCTTGTTTGTTGCATGTGAAATAGAAACATGTCCTGGAAGAGTCATGTGGTCAGTGTTTGTTAGGGACAAAATACGTTTCTCATGTGACCTCATCTCTTTGCTGAAGCAATGCAGTCATTATATAAATAAGAATGGTGCTTTTTAATTGTATGGGGGCTTTCTTTGGCATATTAAGAAGTACATTCTAAAGTAAAGTAAAGTTTATTGTCATTATGGAATATTGTCATACAGAATTCATACTTTGCAGGTCAAACTACTATTACTACGTTAAAAATGACAAAATGAAGGCTCAATTTCAAATCCATATTTTGAAATTCCCTTTAAATATACTGCAGGAGGATGCAGTAGATATTTATCCTTTTAGTCGCTAATATTTTTCACACTTAGTAATTAACCCTTTGATGGTAAAGTATTGGAATTTAGGTGGAGTGACAGTGGATTGGCATAATCTATATTCCTTCAGCATTAGTACAATACTGAGACTGCAATGCTATCCACACCAACCCTAGCAGTAAGTTTCATTAAAATAAAAAGGATGTACTTCAGAATAGACCTTCATAGGAATGTGAACCAAATTATTGGATGATGATTTGGTGATATAGGGAAAAATTGTATTTTCTTACTTTAATCCTAAACATGTTTAGTCACAAGCCTCAATCCATTTGATAGAACTTACTTGTACACTAAGCATGCTTGGGAATACAGTTTATTTACCTGCTTATTTCTTTAGGTTCTGGGATGAATTTCATCCAAATGAAATCATTCTTCACTCATATGTATAGCTACAGTAATTGTTGGGTGTCTGATCCATATTCTCCATCTTCATGTTAGGAAAAGATGGAAGTATTACTGCAATTTATTTTGTTTTTTCTCATAATCTCTGCACTTAGCCAGGTGGGAAAACAGTGCTTACATTGGATAGAGATGGGACAAGGAAACCAAATGTTAATGGTTGACAAAACTTCTTACATTCTTCCCAAGAAATAATTATTATAATTAAACATTGTAAATACAATTGGGTGTCAGGAATGGCACAGGAAGTTTTGACTTCTAACCAGATAGTGGGCATTTTGACAAAAGTGTTTCAGTACAAACAGAAGTTGGTTGTGATTAAAACTTAAGACAAGCAGTTTTCTCATGGTACATGTGAATACTGAAGGAAATGAGCAAATTGGACATTGGATTAAACTGATGAGTTTTAGGGTGATAGCAGCCACCATTCTCAGTATAAGCAACGGAGAGCCATCCTTAGATTTCCTTAATGTATATCTCATATATAGTAAAGATTTCAAAAGATGATACTGTTGAAGAAGTCTATTTAATATTAGAACTCTTTGACTTAATGTAATAGAAAATGGATAAGCGTAGGTTGAATGCAGTGGATGATACCCAGTGCTGATTAACTCCCATTCAATTAATGGATATACTTTATGTGAGACAAACATTAGATATAGTCCTATATGTTCTGTATGTGTTGCTATGGAAGCCATTATGTAACAATTTAGATTTTATAGCTGTGCCATGTCATTGCACACAATCCTTTTACGGTGCACCTGCTTGTGGAACATACTGTGAGAAATACTGCAGAACCTTATTTTAGGAACAGCTACCCTTTACTGTAAAGATGCAGTATATTTAGTTGCAGAATGTGAGTATTCTCTTCAACAAAAGCTGCAACCAGCCAGCTGAACCTATTTTATAAAGGGGATGGTGGTGATCTGAACATCATTGGATCTAGGAAGTCTCTTGAGGGAGAAAGCTGCTGCTACCGAAGCACTCTGTTGGCTCAGAACAGGTAGTTTCAGAGCACACTGGGTTAGCTCCAACACCCATGTGTGCAGTTTCTGTGCATGACATTGCAGCTTCTGAGATCCCACACACATTGCATGAATCCTCTTGCCCAAAACACTTTTGGAAGCAGAGCTAGCAAGTTTTTATTTGTTCTGTTTTATTTTAACTTCTGCACTTTGCACCTTGCCTAAATTAGGACTACTGCTTGAAGACATAAGACATTTAGTTATTAAGCACTGGCAATACATTTAGAAAATATGCTAAGCAGAGTCCTTAAAATCTGCATGAAACCTGGCTTATCTTTTTAGAATGAGGGCTTTCATATGCAAGATATGCCTCCAGTTCCACCTTCAAGTTTCTTTACTTAAGGTACAAGGTGCTATTATGTATCTTTAGGAAAGA